GGGGGGGGGCAAGAAGGGGGGGTGAGCATGCCGGCTGGAGGGAAAGTTTTCCCCGGGGAGGAAGGTGGGTGTGGGTGATGTCAACAGGATGGATTCAAAGCGAGGTACCGCGATAGCCTTCTTGCCCCTCTCTACCCTGGTATCACCCGCTACCGGCCCCTCCGCCCCCCCCTACCTGAAGGCATGCCTGCAGTCCGCGTCCCCCCGCATGGGACAGGGAAAGTCGGTTCGCCCCTCCCGCATGCGAGTCTCCAGGTAGGCCACCACGCATTTTCGGCAGAAGGAATGCGGGCACGCGGGTCTGGGCGAGGGGCGCGGTGGGAGAGCGGGCGCGGCGGGCGGGATGTTTGGCCTGGTGGGGGGATCAGGGGGGCCGTGGAGGGCAGGAAGGGGCAGCCGGGGCGGCTTCTCCTCGAGAGGAAAATCCTCGTAACAGATAAGGCAAAGGGTGCGATCCGCATCCTGCGTCTGCCCGCTTGGACCCGCATCAGACCACCTCTGGGACTCCCCGGCCTCCAAATCCACGTCTTGAAAGAAGCCTCCCGCCCCCACGGCCCTGGCCCCCGCCCTCTCCGAGTCGCCGTCGGTGCCACTCAGACTGCCGTGGTGGCCGTGCGCCCCGTCATTGTCCGCGCCCAGGCTCTCTAGGCTGCTGCTGTGGCTGCTTCTGTTGCTGCTGCTGTGGCTGCTTCTGGGGCTGCTGCTGTGGCTGCTGCTGTTGCTGCTGCTGGCGGGCAGCGGCTCTGACGTAAGCGGGGAGGAGGACAGCGACGGCAGGGACGGGCCCGCCAACTGCTGCACAAGGGCCTTGATAGCGCGCAGGTCGCTCTCACCCTGGTCAAGGTGTCCCACAAAGTACATGGCAGGGGGAAAATGAGTCGCGCATCATGCACTGCTGCAAGTCCTTAGTGGGCAGCCAGGGGAGGGCACAATCCTAAGTTGAGGCACCTGTGTGCGCTTGCCTTGCACTGAAAAATATCCGGTGCAGCGTCACTCTCATATCTCCAGACTACGTGATAATTTCATACGCCCCACAGATACAGCAGTCGAGCAAGGACACTGACCTTCACAACCCGTCGAGATGAAGAAGGCTCTCCTGCGTTTCCCCCTCCGCTTCCTTCAACGTCAAAGCTGCGAAGGCCGCCCAAGCTACCAATGCTGCTGTTGGCACTGCTGCGATTGCTCTCTCCATCAGCGTCATAACAGTGCTCTTGTAACCAGGAAGCCTGTTCCATCATTTTGAAATGCGACAATCGCCGCTTTGGCCCTGTAGAGTTGATGAAGAGATGGGCTGAGAACAGGAAGGGAATTGGACGCTCATAAAAATTGTGATCGCTCCCAAATCTGCGCGGGTACGCAAAGCACAATTATAGAGGCAAGTTTAGATCCATAAAAGCCATGTCGGCACCGTGAGGCTCGTGCAGGCCGCCGAGGCACGTGCATTTTCCAGCTTTGGCAAGTCATGCAGCGATGGATACGAAATGCCTCCAAGAAGGCATTCCTACACCAAAAGCTCTCTCATAGAAGCATAAAAATGTATTCATTCACATTGCTTGTGCAACGCATTGACGCTCCCCCACTCGGTGCGAACCTGGAAAGCTTGCAGTACGTGCCCGGTGGAGGGCTCGGTTTTCCCCTCGCTGATGATATCATGCACTCTGTCTGCGATGGCCATGCCCCTCACACGCAATCGCTCGCCGGCCGTCGCTCGCGACGGGGACGGAATGATGTGTGCAAGCACCAACGGAGTTGCCGTGAAGGTTGGACCGGGGTCGGAGCATCTTATAAAGTCATTCTTAATATCTCTTGTCCGGATGTTGGATGTTCATACTGCTCCGCGTCGCCAAGCCCCTGAACCCACGTCTGGCAGCTTCACATGCAAGGGCGCGCCGTCGCCTTGTACGCTGAGCCAATTTAAAGTGTTATATATGCTCATTGTATACACTGGCACAGGGTCTGGCACCTTTCGAGGGAGTTATCAATTAGAAATTGTCCCTTCCGTCAAGGATGCTGGCACGCCTGTTCAAACGTCGCCGCCGCGGAAGTCCCGCTTCTAGCCTCGCGTCGGACGATCACCCATCAATGAATGAGCCGGACCTCGATGTTTCCAGGACATCCAGAAGGTACACGGGCAGTCACGACAAGGAAGGGGCCTCGGCCATTGAGAAGCAAACGTTTGCAGCGCAAGCCGAGATAGCATCAACAGAAAAATTCCTCCTTGAACGTCAGGGGGCGCGCATGCGCGACGAATTGGCGAGAAAGAAGTTCACAGTGGCCAGCCTATCCACACAGGTGCAGGAACTTACAGATGAAGTTAGGCGCTGGGAGAAGGAGACTAAATGTAAGGACACGATGTTGGAGGGGTGCGCGCAACGTCTGCATGAGCAGGAGGTAGCCCTCTCGCGCGCCAGGCGGGAGAAGACGGAGACGGACGAGATGCTGGAGGCGACCGCCGAGAGCCTTCGGGAGACGCGGGCGCGACTGGAGCAACTAGAAGGAAGGGGGCTGTGGGAGCCTGTCGGGAAAGCCATGGACGGGGGTCTGGTGGGCGAGGCGAGGGGCGCGCCGACTGCCACAGGAGAGGTCCCAAGTAAGCGCACGGGCATGGCCCGAATATATGCCTTGTCTCTCGCGTGCGTCGCAATCTTGGCGATGGGTGTTTTTGCGGGAGCCTCGCTCGATGTCGTGTCCCTGGAAGGCATCACACCTCTCGGGACGACCTGTCGAAGAAGCGCTCTTCTTGTCCTTCGGCCCGGGGGACCCTCCCTCGCCATGCGGGAGTATATCAGCAGCTGCCGAACCTCGCAGTGGCTCACGACCAGTGGCGGTACGGAGACGAGCCTGGGTGGCTGCCAGAATCCCCATTTCCTGTGGCTGCAGGGTGACGGCAACCTCATCCTGTACAGAGGAACATCGCCGAGTCGGCACGCGGGACCCGTGTGGGCCACTCAGCGAATAGAGGGGAAGCGTGCGCTGGGCTTGGAGGGAGAGTCGCTGGGAAATGCCCGGGGGAAAAAAGGAAGTCGCGACGGGGGGAGGCAAGAGGAAAGGCCGAGATATTCGTATCGCGCCTTTGTGGACGGAAAAAAGCGGCTCAAGGTTGTGAGGCGCCTGGAGGGAAGTGCTGATGAGAAAACTGTTTTCAGCATGGCCGCCAAAAGGCTGCCCAAGGTGTTGTTCCCTTGGCCTTTTCTGAAGGATTGAGGGGGAGCCTGTGTGAACGAAGTCGAATAGGCGCAGAGCCACATCAGCAACGCATGTAGATAGAACGATATCCCACGGTTGCGGTACGCATAACAGAGCACTACATTGTCTCAAAAGAAAGCTTCAAGATGAAAAGATTACGGTGGACATCCCGTCACGGTACTCAGTTTGTACTCATTCCGGAAATTACACGCTGGAAGGAAAGTAAATGCATACTGCACACGACACGTTTGACATTATTATCAATTTTTGCTTTTCATGCCTCTATTTATCCGAGCACGCCCGTCCACGGGTATATCGCCTGCTTTGTTGAGCCGAGTGCAAAAACTCGATGCAGCCGCTCAGGGGTATAATCCACGCGCTCTCGTCCGTCCAAAATTGGCAACACATCCTGGAAAAAACAGCACATACAGTCGCAAAACAAGCAACCACGGCATTACCAGCCCTGTGCCGGTTTTTCTACCGGTGGCAAGTAGCGTCACGCCGATCCTTGCATTGCGTCCGAGTGAACGGATGCGCTCCATTGGTCATTCCTAGCTCCCTGGCTCGGCTTTAGCGACGGCGCGGCCCAGGCACTTGAAGGTCATGCTCTTTGATCCGTATCTTCACCTTCACAGAGCACCGTGTGCTTGTCCTCCCTTACTTCTTGTCCCCCGTCCCGGGGGCTTGCCCCCCGGTTCAAGGCGTTCGGAATGGTTTCGTGCGGAGCGCGGGCGGGCGCCAGGACTCGTTGGTCTGATGGCCAGGGCATATTCTTTCGCGTGTCTTCGGGTGGCGAGGCCTCGACGCTGTCGAGGAGGGCTTTCGGTGCGGTGCCTTGTGCCTTTGCCTGCGATCAAGGGATCCACTTGGCAGTGCAAAGCTTAAACCGAGTGACGTGATCGTACAGCCTGGAAGAGCCTGGTTTTGTGCACCCTGGGGGCGCAGGGAAAGGGAAGGCTGGGAGTGACCGAGCATGGGGCCGCTCTCGTGGAAGACGCCTAAACACTTATGCCATCAGATGGCATTCATAGCCCAACTGCAGGCCACGTGCATTCGTGTACATGCCATTCTACGAAATTTGTCGAGCTATGGTTTCAAATTCACTGGTACTCATTTTCTGCCGATGCACTATCCGCCTTCAACCACAAGCAGACCTCACCTCTCTCACACCATGAAGTCCATCATCGCCCTCCTTTTGGCCGCTCCGGCCCTGGCTTTCATGCCTCCTACTCCTGCTCCTCAGCGGTACGTCGACCGATCAGGGCTTTTGAAAGCAGATGCGGGTTTCTAGATAGCGTAGACACGTCAAGTTTGCGCATGCATGAGGCTGTGGGCAGGCTGAGAATTTTCCTTGCTATATGCTCCCTTTCCCTCGTACAGCACCGAAGTCATCATGAGCGCATCCC